ATATAGTCAGACTAAGATTGATGAGGTTAATCAGTTAACCGAAACCACGAGGTCACAAGACCACGAGGTTACAAGAGCAAAATTTATGCCGTATTTATTTCAATGTCTTTTCTGGTCAGAGAGCTGTAATCTTGGACATATTGCTGGTTGAGACTATCTACCAGTGTCCAATTCCCGCAAAAATTTGTTTAATTCCCTAGCTGCATGTTAGGACAAAAGACAATATGGCATATTCATTTCAATACCTTCACTAACTATATTTATTAAAAGACAATAAATATGTCGATTGCACGTTGGTCAACAAAAGAATCTCATGCATTATCTTTCATTGAAATTGCCACTAATTAACTGCATGGCCTCCTTTTTATTGTCATTTACTAGTGATTCCCAAGAAATTGGTTTCAACCTGGAAATTACTAATTAGCCTATCTTGACGAGTGTCTAAACCAGTATTAAGGTCCAGACACACCGGACGCGATTCGACAACGCGACGCGATTTTTTAGTTTTTGAAAGTTAATAAAACAGCCAATGAGAGCAAATTTTGAAAGATATGTACACCAAATAACTCAATATGTTATAGCGCTTCTAAATATTTGGAAAATTTAATCTGGACCTTAAAGCCAGTTTTCCACTAGCAAAATTTTTCGCGCAAAGCGACCTTTTTCCTTTGTCGGTATCATTTAATTTTACCACGTCTTGCTGACGTATAATAAGTGATACCAGAAAGGAAAAAGGTAGACCTGAATGTCCCTCCCCCCAAAAATGGGCATACAATTGTTACAATCGAAGCGATGGTTAATCAGAAAGACCGCCCCTCCACATGGCTTTTAAAGGTAGCACCAATAATGACATTGTCACAGATTTTGCATTTCTTCTTTCCGTACTCAAACATCCCTACGACCGTTTCCTCTTCCCTTCGCAATTTAGAACGAACTAAGTGGTCTTTAAGGTTTTATTTTTTGACCGACGAAGACACACCATTGGTGTCTTTTAAAGGCATTTGGTCCGCGTATAGCCACGAAGTTATGTATTATTTTGGTTATTTCGTATCTAAATAAAAGACGCATTTCGTCAGTATATATACTGACGAAAACATATATCAATATATGCACGTATATTTTTTAAAATCGTATACGGTTATTTTTATGCAGTTTTATCTTTCAGAAAATGACTTGTGTTGGTTATCTCATTCTATTTGTGCTCAGTTGTGTGTTGTTTCCATGTGAAGGTAGGACGTTATATTTCCAATTTTGCAAATCTTATTTTCTCGTCATTTTTTCACTCATCCAGCATTTTGGCTGGGTTAACTAATGACTTAGTTTATCATTCAGGGCCTCTCAGAGAAATTCGGGGGCCCGGGGTAATTTTTTAATTCGGGGGCCCTATTTTTTTCGGACAATTCCGAAAAAAATTTTTCCGGACAAAAACCAGTTAAATTGAGGTTCAAAATAAGTTTTGCAGATAAATACCTGTAAAAACACGGGTAAAACACATTTTTTCGGAGCAATACCAGTGAAATTGAGGTCTAAAATTTTTTTCTCATACCATTATTTATATAAAAAAACGTTCCAAATAATTTTTTAATTACACCTTTTATGACCCCCCTTTTGCAAATTTTGGGGGCCCCTTTAACTGGGAGGCCAGGGCCACAGGGGCAAATTGCCCCCTTTGCCCCCCCCCCCTGAGAGGCTCTGTTAGTATTTATTTTGAGCCGAAGCAGGCGTGAGGGAAAGAGGCAAATGTTAATTCAGTTAAACGGCAGATGAATAATGTGATTTATAATGGTAATTACACTGAGTTGAGTGCAATTAAAAGCATATAAGCTGCCAAGAGCCTGGGAACGAAGTTGATTAGCAGCCACACTGCATCTGATTTAAAAATGCATCAGTAAGTAATGAAGTGTCTGTTTTTGCGATAGGGTTCAGTTTTTAGCCGACACGATCGAAATTTAAGTAAATTAAGTTGATGTAAATTGGGACGACACCTGCATGTATTAGCTATTTTCCAATCGAGCAGAGAACTGGGTCTAGCCGCTTGTTTGGAGGTACAAAGAATAAACAATGTGCCGAATATGGCATCTAGGACGTTTTCCTACATTCCTAAAGTTATTTGTGCAGCCTGAAACGCAACAATTATAATAAGGCATCTTTTAATATATATTTAGCTCGCTCACTATAACTTGTTGTTCTCCCAAACGTCCCTTCAAACGTTTCTCCAAACATAGACCCAGTCCTCTGCTCGATTGGGAAATGGCTAATTAGATTTGCTTAATTAATTGAACATTTCTTTTTAATTTTCTTCATGAATTATTGACTATTTTAATTATACGGTTTTGAGATACTTTCCTTAGCAATTTGATGGAGTCTGAACTAAACATTCATGAATTGACCTACTGCCGTACTGACATTTTTCACAATTTGTGACGTGAATTTATATACTTTACCACTTCCGTTTATAAATCTAGTGAATTGAATTGACTGTGTGGAAAACATTCCATTAAAAAATCCGCTTTCTATATGGGCATAAGTTTATATCTTTTGCTCAGTACGAGTTGTCTTGCTTCTATGTTGATTGTATCCGTTACTTTTTGGCAGGATGAACTCTGCTTGAATTTTAGCCATTCGAAACTGACTCGCGCCGAAACACTCGTTATATGCGTCATTTATATATAACGCGAGTGAAACAGGTTTACCTTATTGGAAGATTTTTACGCTCTCATAAGTAGCAAGTCATATGAGCACTCAAAACATTCGCGTGTGTCAGCGTGTTAACCTCGTACCCAGGCTCTTTCTTCTACGCTCTTATGCAGAAGAAAGTCCTGCGTTTGAGGTTGTGCGCAACAGGTGGGCAATTTGTCGACGCTGACCAAAAATAGCGGCTCATTTCTTCTTGAGTTGCCATTTTCGCGTCGAAGAGCAAAAATATAGACTTTCGGAGAATATTTTAGCTGTTTACTATCAAATATGTTTGTAAAACAGTTGATAATCTCACTGAGGAAGGCCAACTGTTTCTGAAAAGCTAAAGTACGTCGAAATCAGCGTTGGAATAGACTATATTTTCACCAGTGCCTTTTTTAAGGAATTTTCACTGCGGGGCAAAACAGGAAAAAAGGCAGAATGAAAAATATGAGCCGTCGAGGTTTGGCGAACGCGCGAGTCTGAAGAGAGATTTTGTAAAACTTTAATTTATTAAGTTCAGCTATATTTTACTTTAAACAATAACTTCAACTATTTGTAGCTATAATCGTACAGCTATAACCAGTGGCGTAGCCAAACCTTAGGAGGGTCCGGGGTCCGGAAAATTTTGAAATCTAGGGTCCCTGAATTGCGATTTCATGCATTTTGGGGGTGAAATCTAGCAGAATTCCGAAGATTATAAAGTACATCGAAGACATGAATTTTTCCAGACATTTCTACTTGGAATTCAATAAATTGGAAAAGTCACCTTGAAAAATAGGAGGAGGGGTCAGTGTCACCTTATTTCCTCTCTGTGATGTGGGGGGGGGGATCCCAATGTGATTTTGATCAGAAATGTTGCATTTAAATCATTTTAGGTTCTATGAGACACCATTTCCGCATTCTCAAAATTGCGTTGCTTTTTCATACGATACAGAATAAGTCTGAGAAGAAATATTCATGCTATGATGATGCATACATGTATTTAGCAGTTAAAAATCTAAACTAAATCTATTCTTCTTGGAACCATATCTACAACTGCTTTAACGAGATTTGACAAATCAATTCCTCCAGTATATCGTCTTTTTCCTCAGTCGAGACGAACTTAATCAGTTTCAGCTTCGAGCATGTAACGTGTACTTTCTGAGAGAATGGTTTTTGTGGCGATTGGGGAGGGGGGGGGGGCTCTTAATATAACTTGATATTTTTAAGAAAACAATTTTGCAATAAAACCTCCCAAAACAAAACACAACGCCTCTGTGGAGGAGAGTGCTAGGAAATAGTCGCAAGGCTTGGAAAGGCTAGCATTTTATCGGATTGTTTGCATGAAATCTATCGCTATTATGAAATACTCGGTGAAGAACAATATGAATTACACACAAGATGGCTGTGGAGGAGGCTATGGAAGGGCATAATCTCATTATCAAGTAAATCAACTGCAATCCTGACAGCAATCATGAGCAATTCTGCTTCGTACGTCGGGGGCAGAAATGGCTTTACTGGGGGGATTCTTTCCCTGGGGGGGGGGCAATCCCCCCCTCAAGATATATAGTTAAAAAAGGCACTGTGCTAATAATACAGATGTCACCCATGTACAATGCCAACCGATGTGGTGGAATGCATCAACCAAGAAAAAGTTGCCGGAATTCCTTTTAAACCATATCAATTAATGTCATTCTTGCCCATTTCCACAACCCAGTAGGTGATCGAAACGCTGTCTTTGGTCGTTCTTCCTTGGCCAGTGGGACCTGCAAATAACCTTGGGCCAAATCAATGACACTAAAACTTAGAATGTCTATAACCTCTTGCAGATTGCCATTTGGATATGTGTCATTGTGGGTAATTTTGTTAAGTGGTCTGAAATCCACACACAATCGAATTATCTGGTTTTATTAACACAGGTACAATCGGAAATGCCAAGGGGACTTAGAGGGAGTCAAATGTCCCGACTTTACATGGTTTCCTACTGCTTCATTATTTTTTAGTGTTAACCCAAGGTTGTGTCGTTTGAGGTGGCACACAATTGGATCAGATACGCTGTGGGTATTGTGTGCTGAACACAACTGCTGTTGTGGTGAACCCACTGTTTCTTGGATAGTCGAAAACTTATAGTGTATTTTTTCGAATGAATTAAACCTTCTAGTTTTTCTCTTTGTTGTGTTGTTAATTGTTCACCGACTGATACTTTTGGAACTGGATCATATTATGACGACGGATTATTGCCCCCCATATTTGACTCTGAAATATATGCTATGTTGTGGGTACTTGGCAGTTCCTGAATTGTGGCTGCAGTTTGTTCTCTATAATTAACTCTAATTGATTTATCAGTAGTATTCAGGTTCGCATATGGCGATTTTATTTTCATCGTTCATAATTTCTGCCGAAATCTTTATCGGGGCTGTAAGAAGCCCTGTTCTCTGATGAAAACGTTCCGTACCTTCGATATTCGAATCTCCAGTAAAATCTGCCTTCTTATCTTGCAATTTACCCCAAATAAATAATTTTTCAAATGACTTAATATCACGATTTTTCGCAACTCGTATGTCGCAACTACTTCCAGTTGTAATGAGGGCTGGGTCCCATCTATTGTTGCCAATTTTTCTCTTGTGTTCAACGATAACCCAATTTTCCCAAAGAGTCCACGACCAGAATCCCGTTTTGATAATCGCCTTTTTGCCAGCAGCGTTGACAAATATCTTTAAACGAACAGACTTTCCGAAAATGTTCAGGCGACTGTCAGTGAAAACACCCCTGATTCTTACCGTTTTTTCAACTCCAAGGTTTTGGCGGGAAATTTCTCTTTCCAACGAACCCGACCTTACTGTTTTGTTTCGTTATCCGTTTCCCGACTTCCGTCGTTTCCTTTGGATAGGGCGGCTGCTATCGCTTCCCTGATTATCTTTTTGAACGATATTTTGTCCGCTTCCCCTGTCGTTTAGAAATTGTTTACTTCGAGGTTTACTTTTGGCGATGCTGTTCTATAAACTGGCTCGAGCAAATCTTCAGACAAGCTAGCTCGAGCCGATCTTCCTAGTTCTTCAGACAGTTGTGTTAACTTTAAATCTCGATGTTTACTGTCGCTCTTTATCTTTTGACTCATTGCGTTGTCAATAGCTCCCAAAAAGGTATCATGTAACATTTGTTCCTTTGTTTTCTTTGCCCATTCGTGTGTTGACGCGCATAACTCTGGGTAAGCCTTCCCCATCAACTTCTCGATTCTCCACGCTAACTGTGCCGGTGTTAGCCGCCTCTTCGGCTTAAAGCTCGTAATTCGTCGATAGCTTTATCATGGTCGATCGATTCTTTGTCGAATTCCTTCCTTAAAGCTGCTTTAATTTCTTTTGGGCCATCTTCAAGTTCATCGGCCAATATCGCAATACAATACGCCCCCCTCGAGTTTACTCGCTATGGCGTGAACTTCCTGTTTACCTTCAAATTTATTTGTAGAACAATAGAACTTCATTTTCATAAACCATAAATCTACATCTCCCGTACCGTCATAACAGGCTTGTTTTGTTTCTACCATTTTCGACAAAATTAAAGCGAGAATCACCACTGTGACCACTTTAAATTTGTATTTTATATTAATCACGAACACATCTACAACAACGACCTTTGCCTCGGTAGTTAATACCTGTAATTAAGCCCGAAGGCCCATGCCTAATATACTGCAACCAGGCTTGCCATTTACGAGCATCTATTTGCCAATTATAAGTAATAGCATGGCTTGAGGGAGATTAGTGATTAAATGGCCCCGTAACCCGAGGCAGGTTTGCGGAATCCCCGAGGGCGAAGCCCGAGGGAATTCCGCAAATCTGCCGAGAGTAAGGGGGCCATTTAATCACTAATCTCCCGAAAAGTCATGCTATTAGTTTGTAATAGCATAGTTGCGTTCCCATTTAAAAATGGACAAACATGCCCTGCTTGCAATCAGCGAATTTAAGCTAAAACATTTGCTTATTTGCTTGTGGGATGTAAAAGCTTGTTGCACATGCGCATTTTTTACGCTTTAATCGGTTAGGCATGCGCAATCTATCATTTAACGTACCACAACGAAAGCGCTAAATATATTAGTATAAAATCGGAGACTGCACGTGCGTAATTTAAATGATGCAACAACTCAGGGATCGACGGCTCTGAGCCAACTGTTGCTGTTCCTTGGACGATTATGTGCGTGAGGCACTTGCCTAATGCGTAGTTGGCAGGGAGACAAAGGGTGTGACCCTTGCCAACGGGCGATTAGAACTAATCGCGCGCTACCGCGGGCGATTAGTTAGTAATCGTCCCAGTTGAAACAAAATAAGCCCGGGCTATTATGTAACTAAATGTCAACTGTAACTGAATGACACTTTTGGATTATCGTAAAACGTGTTTATAATGCTTAAAATAGCTTGTCGCATACTCAAATAAAAAACTTTCTAGTCGACCATGCCCCGGGCCCACCGAGCCCCTACATTGTCCTGTTAATTCAATGGTCCCCCCTCCCCCATCCTGCACTCATTTGGAACTTGCTACGCCTCGCGGCCTTCACTCAAAATGTCGAAATTCTGCTTATATATTCCTCTCACGCTGACGCTGTATTACGGATACTTTATAGGACTATCCCTGTTCCATCAAGCAGTAACAAGTGCTGAACTAATTACAATCAGTTTCGCAGGCGAAGTGACTATAGCTATAGCTGTAATATTATAATAATCACCACAAGCCTGAGGCGACTAATTGCATTTACTTAGTACAACTTTCCTGGAAGATCCTCCAGAAATTATTCAGAAAGGTTACCAAATTCTCAGTGAATTTCTGGGTAATTTCTAATTTCACCAACTCTCAAAATATCAACATAGTCTCTTTTTTCTGTAATGTACATCATCGTACAACTGTTCCCATTAAGGTTGCATTTACAGTAATTAATTAGGAATGCACCACAGGCATAAGAGAAGAGTTTGATCTATAAAGGTTATGGCTTTGTAAGGGGAATAAGTTAGATTGGGTTGGGCTAGGCCATAGTAAGCTGTCTGCCAACCAGTTAGGGGTTAGGAGGATTTGGAGGATTATGAGCATTATTAAGAAGGTTAAGGGGATTAGGAGATTCATCTATCGAAATATGTACGCCTGCATGATCGTACGCATCATCGTATGAATGGGTTGCATAATATATATGCTTTTCTTTTTCTCTTTAGAGTACGTATGTGAGATGTCAAGACCTATTTAACTTCTGCTTAAAAGTTGATTGTTTTCAAGTGACCTGAAAGACATTCTATGCACAATCAGTACGCAGCAAGATTAGCTGTGCAACTGTTATAAATGACGTGACTATCAAGCTTTTCAAAGTTACGTAATCTATTGTTGTATTATATAGCTACTGTAAGTGCAATATTATGTTATCAGCACTGATCGCTATATTGAACTGGATTAAGCATTATATTATTTAAAAATTGTCCGCAAACTGCATGTCAAAAAACTATTAGTCAATTTTGTCGTTATAATATAACTTGGCGGATTTTTTGCTATTACAGTAACTTAAGGTAGAGATAAGTTACAGTAATACCCCTAACATTTTGATAGGGATAAAAAAATTGAATTGTGATCATACGAGTAAATCATTTGTACTTGACCGCATGACCGCACACAAATCTTCACGGAAACATTGCGAAATTTTTCTTGCAAGTGGAAATCCAGGATAATTAATTAAGCGCCCATCGTAAAAACCTAACTCTATATGGCCTTGGATGAACTCTGTAATCAGTGACTGGTTAGTGCCCGCCACTTTAACTCAGCGCTTTTGTGTCGGGCTCTCTTTGTGGGCCACAAATAAAACTCGTGCTCAGCCTCTCTCGCGGCTTCTATGCGAAATGTCAAATCGGCTCTTAGGAGCGAAATCTTTTATAACTTTATTTAATATGAACGGAACCGCGCTTGCGAAGCAGTGGCGGCGCCAGGCTTCCAAATTTGGGGGGCGGGGGGGGGCATTTGAGGGGCAAACTCAAATTTGGGGGGCAAGATAGAATTTTTAAAAAGGTCGCCCCCCCCAGGAAATTCACCCCCCCCCCACCCAAAACGTGGCGATATTCCTAGGAATATTTCCCCCGGGGGGCGAATATCCTAGGAATATCGCTCCCAGGGGGTGGGGCGAATACCCTAGGAATATCGCCCCTCTTTAGGACATTCGCCCCCCATATATGCGATGTGGTTTATTCAAATAATTTCGTGATACTTAACTCTGCAAAACTAAAGCTTTTTTGTCTTTTTTTGAAACGTATTATTGGAGTATTGGCAAGTTTTACCATTCAGAGATTTGCAAACTAATACTGAAACTGTAAAAAACAGTTTCATGTATACGCGCATTCACTAATGAGTAATGACAACTTATAAGCCATACATTTTCTGATAACGACAGAACGCTTGTGTAGCCTTTAGTCGCTCTTTATAGTGACTAATAATTTCTTTTGAGGGGGGGCAAAATGGGGGGAACAAAAAATATTTTTTGGGGGGGCTTCCTGGCGCCGCCACTGTTGCGAAGACATTTCTGGCAAAAGCATGGGGTTTTCGAAAGGTTCATTTTCTCTTTGCTGGGATCATCGAAGGAAGGCGATATGATGTTTCGAGCGAGTATTTCAGATGACATTAAACATCGCTGATCAGAACGCGTGTGTATTAAAGTATAGGTCAGCCGCTCATGCAGAAAGCCTTCACAATTCAGCACTGACTTAAAGTGAAATATAGATTGTATTCTACACGGTAGGGATAGAATCGTATATATAGGATACAAATTAATGAGTCTCAAAGCGTCCCTCTGCCTCTCTCCTTCGCAGGGACGTACATGCATGAAGTTTCTACTATCACTCTCCGCGCGAGTGATAGTATAATATATATTATTTAAAGTAAAATTCAGATATAAGTTAATTATAATGATACTTCCATAGTTTCCACGTCTTATGTGAATAAAAGAACTTTGAAGGGAAATGGCAACAAAACTTATATTTGTCGTATTTGATTGACCTTTGAAAAATGGTTGGACGAAGCTTTTAATTAAAAAGTCTCTGTTACTTTTCTAGTTCTTGAGATATTTGACAGCAAACACATATCTGCCATCTTGATCCACAATAGGCAATTCTAGCTTTTAATTTATGCGCGCAGGGGGTGATGGTTAGTAAGGTGTCATGTTGGTGATTATGCTGATAAATTTCAATAAAAACTGTCGAAACAACCGAAATATTTCAATATTTACAAGTATAAGCTATCACTCAGTGTTTACACGACCGCCATTTTATTTTTTCAGCAGCCATATCAGATACCTTACTCCCCCCCTGCACGCATAAACTTAAAGCTGGAATTGCCTATTAGATCTTATTGTATGACGTCACTACGGGATTGGACGTTATAAAACTCACATCGTTTACACATACTGCATGCATGTGCATACAATAATAGACAGAAACCATATCTCAATTTTATAGCGACTTGTTTATCCTCAGAAAAAGTGCAAAACCAAACGAAAATCACGTCAAGTCCACCCTTTTGCTCTTTACCGTTCGCGAACTGAGTAAGCAATGCAGGATTCAATATTAGGCTTCACACTAGTTTTCTAAAGCTTAGCTTTAAATTTGACTATTTCTGTGAAACAAACGATTATTTGTCTTAAAAGTAAAATCAATCGCTTTCTTAGAAAAAATCTTTAATTTATGAGTTGAAAAAGATGTAAATATTCACGGCGTGGAAAACATGAAAGAGATTGATCGACCAACCGTGATGTTACCTGTATAATAATATACATAAAGATATTACTCGACTGTGATTGATTGATTTCAGTGCAGTTAATCCCAAACAGCAGTGCAATTTTCTGTAATCACAGTGCAATTTTCTGTAATCACAGTGCAATTTTTTGTAATCTCAGTGCAATTTTCTGTAATCACAGTGCAAAAATCTGTAACAAACTGATCTGATTGGTGGATAAACATTGTGATGATTAAATCAACCAATCAGTTTATTAAAGCAATTTAGTTTAAAGAAGTAACGTTAACGGTCACAGATTTCTTCAAAACAAAACAAACATGGTGCCGCGCTACACAAAGTAAAAGTTGCCTTCGCGTGGAAAATATGGCTTTTATCTTTATTTTTAAATGGAAAAGCATTTACCTTAACAAAAATTACGTAGTTGAGTGGAATATTCAAGCTGTTAGCGTTGTATAATGTGATATAACAAAGCCAGGAAAACTTTTCCAGTGGAATGTTCGCTATTAAGAGGGTCCTGAAGGGGGGGGGGGTCCCAATCCCATTTCCCACCTGAAATTTTGGCAACATCCCAGTCCCAGTTGGATTTTTATTAGAAATCCCAGTCCGAGTTATTGAAATCCCAGTCAATAAAAACCCCTTTATTTATCGGTAGAATAAACAGTTTTGAGACTTTTTAAGTCACCGGGGGGAGAGTCGTGCTGAAGGCACGGAAAATTTTTAAATTTGAGTCCCGGAAATGGCATTTGCAGCATTCTGAGACACGCATAATCATAAAACCCAGAATTCCGGGCGCCAGAGTATGCCTGTTCGCAGTTAGTGCTGTGAATAATATAGTTAACAACAAAAATTATGACCAAAGACACCAAAAACAGATCAAAATTGTATTTAAAAATACTTAAATTAAAACGTGGAAGAATTGGGAATCGATTCACATTACCTCAATCCCATTCCCATTTTTGAGGACTTCATTTCCCATTCCCAGTGGCCAAATCCCAGTCCCCGCAACCCAAATCCCATTTTCCCAGTCTAAAAATAGGTCAATCCCAGTTCCCATTTTACCCCTTCAGGACCCCCTATTAACGCGTAAGTTAAAACTACAATTGTCTCGAATATTTTTATGTAAATTATTAATAAGTAATAGCATGGTTTCTCGTAAAATTTGGAAAAACATGCACTCATGAGTTTTTCAAAGACCTCAAATATATTTTGAGGTCTTTGAAAAACTCACTCGTGCATGTTATATCCAAATTGCACTCGAAACCATGCTATTACCTATACTTAAGTGAAGTTAAAGATGATGTCCACTCCGTTCTGCGCATCAGTTCTGCTCATAACAAAGGGGGACCCCCAGATATAAACATTGCGCAAATTTTGCATCTTTCGAACTTTTTAAAATTGAAAACGTATTGTTTATATTCATTTACAAGTTCTGCGAATCAGAGAAATGTTAGATATTCAGTTAGTATATCATATTTTACAATATAGCAGTTCAAAACGTAAACAAAGTTCGCGCATGTGCACAGGAGTGGACATAATCTTTAAGGATGTCCCTGGGTGGCCTTAGACTTTATATCGATCTAACTCTTCGGAATATTCCGTGGCTATTGATGGCACTCAAACATTCAAATTGAATAAATGTCATAAACCAAGATGTAAAAACTAAAAAAAAATAACGTTGCCACTCGATTTTGCAGAACTGATGAAAGATCCTTCTGCACACCCATATAGTCCATTTATTATTGTATTAATTTGTGTTACTTTAAGTAAATAAGGTGGGTGGCCTAATCATTTCTATAATACACTATAATTTGCTCAAGATTGAGAGCTAAGCAAGTAATTATAGATTACTGTACTAAATTGAAACTTTTCAGAATAACCTTACAAATGGCTAAGTCCGGAAAAACCCGAATACGGTATCTTCTATACGACAGATTTTACGTAACTCCACCAACGTCGCAACAAGCATTCGCGCTGCTCCAATGACGTGAATTAAAATCTTAGTTTAATTTTGTATTCTGAATGACAACGTTGTTGAGGATACCCCTGAGACCACAAATTGTTCAAATGTTTTGCATGAAGAATTTCTTTGTTTCCAAGGCGCGTCTTTCAGTCCGTGTCGTGTTTTCTAAATCATTCTACTAACAACGTTATTAGACCAGCCTGTTCAATTTCTATAATATACGCGAGCAAATATTTCAGTCTGGCAAATTTATGGTAATTGTTTACGTAGTTAACTTATGTGTGATATTTTTCAAGCAAATATAATATTCAGTTCGATTCCAATGTTTAGATATAATACATAGAAAGTTACAAAAACATCACTATGGCAACCGCCCAGAAGGCGATCAAGGTTTTGCCACGTAATGTTAAGATAGTGTTGATGGGATTTTCATCATTTGATGGCAAGGTGGGACTTCTTGTTGGGGAAATTAATAGCACACGACTACATAAGGTTAATCGGTGGAGACTTTGTAGCTAATTGTCTTTGGCATGTCTTGGACAGGACTTGTCTTGATTCTTGCACTTGTTTATTTTTTTTGCATGTACTGACTTTTAACTAATTATTGAAACAATCGATTATTTGTCTTAAAGGCAATATCAAATCTGGAAAATTTTTGAATATATGGATAGAAAAAAGTAAACATGCATATGGAAGAGATTGCAAGCTTTATTCACCAACCGTGATGTTACCTGCTCGAAGTGGAGCAAGAGGCAATTCAAATATTTTTATTACGACGAAATTCGAGAATTATAAATCTGAATTTCAGTTTCTAGTTGACAAGTAAAAGTAATTCTCGTGATCACATTATCAGTTCAAAAACAAATGTTAACCAGGGAGTGGAACGAAAGAATTTTTTAAAAGTGCATACGTCTTTTGTGTGATTGTGCTAAATTAGAGAAGAGCGAACCACTTTCTTCGAAAGTGCCAAATCTTTAGATAAATTCAGTATCGTGGCATAACATATAACATGTTCGGGGAAAAGACTTTAGTTATATAATCGAGTAGGTGGTTTGGTTCGGTTGCTTTTGAAGTGATCAGGGTTTGAAAATTATTTTAACTTTCGTGATAAAAAGTGAAATTTAGATTTACGTTTTGGCATTATTTTTGTCGGAATAGATATAAAATTTGAAGAAGGGAAAACGATATTTGGTTTTAATTTTCTGAATTTTGATTTAATTTCATCAAAAACGAAAA